CATGATGAAAAATCAGGCCGTTTTAGCAGTTATGGCCCGTGATTTCCTGACCTGAAGTCCACATTAGAAATGCAAAATGAGCAAAATACTCTCCCTGAAATACTAAAAAGAAAAAAAAAACCAGCCTTGGAGAGAAGGACAGAGGGAAGCAGTGAAGTAAGATGTGTCGCAAGAGATCAGTTCTTTTATTGGGCTGATACAACTAGAAAATACAGGCAGGCTTTCCAGCACATAAACCCTTCTGCAGATCCGAGAGAGAAGATGTAGTGACATTTAAAGCCACACACACAGTTTTGCCAACATGTGTCAGAGTGAATCTCCAGTAGGAGGGAACAACCAACCGCTCTATTTGCAACTTGGCAGATGGGGTGTTTTGTTGTCTGCTCTAACGTGTGATGTGAGTTGGCTGCTCGTACTGAGTCGCATCGAGTGGGAAAGGTAGCTCTTGTCTACTGATCTTGTGTTCAAGATCCAGTATTTGATTTGTTCCTTGGGTGGTCAGATGCTCACATCAGCTGGGAGCGATGAGCTCCGATATCTAAACTCAATACCCCTACAAGTCTCTGCTGTTTCCATTACACAAGGAGCTCAGCAATCAGGAGCAGCGGTGCTTTTAATCAGCATCACGAAAAGTCAAGTGATAGTAAAAGCAAATAAAAGCCAGGAAGGTGCTATTTTATAATGGGCTTAGTGACTACATGGATGTAAGCTGGCACTGGCTCCCAGCCTTTTAGTTATACTCATCCCAGTTCACACAGGTCATTCTGATTCCCGTGAGACAGTGGCACATGGGAGCATGTTGCGTGTGTAAAGTGGGGATGGTTCAATCGCTAACAGATCCTAAAAAAATTTGCAGTGAAAAATCATGGAATTTCTAGTGGCAAAAGGCAGTGCTGCTGAGCAACCTTTGCTTGTCCATCTTCATCAACCACATCTCTAACTAATGGCTGCTATTCAGTGCTGCTCCCCCACTCTTCTTTCTCCTTGCCCTCTCCTCATTGCTTCTGACACATTGCTCGGGCAGCCCCCCCTTGCCTTTCCCTGTGCTGCCACGCATCACTCTAAACTTGGTGCAATTTTCACAATGTTCTCTCTCTGACAAGAAGCATTAGAAAGGAAAGATAATTTTCATCCTTTCTCTCGTCTCTTCTCCCTTGGTGCTGAAGCGATCTCTGGTTCACCTGGGCGTGATGCATTGGTGTGATGAACTGATCATTTGGTATGAAGTCGTGATCCAGGGTGGGAGACACATAAAGGTATTGAGGACAGTGCAGTGTCTGTAGCGAGTGCTGACTGTAGATTTTGTACAGACGGTGACGTGTATGAAGCCACTTCTTAGTTTTCAGCAAAAGCTGTTGTTTTCAGCCCTCAACTGAAGTAATACCGTTCCCTTGTGATTGTTACATGTCCATCCCAAGAGTCCAGTCCAAAAGCAGGCACCAGGAGATCCCAACAAACCCACCTGTGATGCTATTTCACGCTTCGGAGTGAAAAAAGTGGCCCTGTTGATGCAGAGGATAGATATGTCTGAACTGAGTGGTAGAAGATGCAGAGAAATACTTTGCAGGAATAGAAAAACCGTTTTGTGTTATTAGACAAAGCAATGTGGCTGGAAGCTTTCCTTCCTCAAACCAGACAAGCTGTTTCTGCCAGGTATGGCTGCTTTTCAGGGGTTAAAGCTCTCGTTTCTGTACCAGGCAACATAGAAGTGGTGTCAGGCTGAAATGGCTTGAAGATTTGGACTAATAGTTCAGGGAGAAGGGCTACCCAACTGGAAAGAGGTGATAGAGTCCAAACTGAGTGGTAAGTCCTCCTCCCCTTATCTTGTGTAGTTTGTTATGTGGTTCTCTTAGTTTTTCTACACCCGTTTGTGCTGCAAGTATCACCACTGCATTAGCCAGCCGTTTGATATTGTCTGATGCATCTGCAATCGGGCATAGGCTGGAAAAAAATTTCCTTGCCCCAAATATTAACTCAAGTAGCAGAAAATGCCTCTCTGTGAAGAGAATTCATAGGGAAACGCACGTTTTCAGGCTCTCTGCACAAATTCCAAAATTTTAACATGACCATGTTTCTATTTTCACTACCTTTCAAGTACTTCATTGTTTCTTCTCTCTAGGCACCTATGAATTGCCTATCCCTTTTCTTACCTGGATTTCATCAATATTTTTGCCATTTTTTAACTGTTAAGCAGGAGATAGTACCAGCGTTGTCTGCTCCTTTCACCGAGAAATGCTGCCTCAAAGAGATTGGTGGTATTGGAAAGTGGCAGCTCAGAGACCAGTGATCCTTGGGCTCATTCATTCCATCCATGTTTGACTGATGCTCCATTAGCCAGTTTTGGAAGAGAAAGATGTCAGGTTTGGAAGGTCCATCTGTAATTGTGCTGGATCTCAGGCTGAGGGGCAGCTCAACAGCTAAAGGTTTCGCTGAAATCTTCCATGTAATCCAGGCAGACATATATTTGTTTTGATACTGCACGCTACCATTTCCAAACCCAGTCAGCAGTGTGTGTTTGTTAGGCTATGCAGACGATGGCATGAGAAGAATTCAGGGCAAATCATTCATTTTGTGAGTCTTTCCTGTTTGGTTTTATGGCAGCTTCTTATGTGCCTGAAGTATTAACAAAATGCTTTCTTGGACTGGGGTTGTACTGGGAGATGAGATCTCACCGTGAAATTAAGATATCTGAAGCTCTCTTTTCTTTCTACAAAATTGTTGGAAAGGAAAGGGATCCAATTCTGGCATGATGTTTTGTAAGGTGACATTTGTTATAACTCATTGCAAATGTTACTCACCATCTACATTCAATTAAACTGAAGAGCAGTGAAAAATACCCAGTTTCACTCTAGCAGCTGCACTTGTCATCAGAATCCCTCAGGTTTTTTGGAGCCAACAGATTCCCCCCTTGAAGACCTCCACATGGTGGCTGCTGTCCTCTGTCACCGCTTGGTGTTCCCTGCTCCTGTGAGCCGGATTGTCACACGGGGACAAAATTTCCCTTCCCATTTGGGCTTATTTTCCCAAAGATCTCTTTGGTCCTTACATGTTGTCAGACCTGTTCTGCATCCTTTTGTGTCTTGTCACATTGTGTCCCCATTTCAGTGGGGCTTGGCTGGACCCTGCTCACAGAATGGCAAGGGTTGGAAGGGACCTCGGGAGATCATCTAGTCCAAACCTCCTGCTAAAGCCGGTTCTCCTAGAGCATGTTACACAGGACTTCATCCAGGCAGGCTTTGAATATCTCCAGAGAAGGAGACTCCACAGCCCCCCTGGGCGGCCTGTTCCAGTGCTCTGTCAGGGATAACATTTTCAAAAACAAAATCTGAAAAATGACCCGTGATCCTTAGTCCTTTTGAAAATCAGAGTAGTTGGTTATACATGTAGTTTATTGAGACTTGAAGCTCCTAAGTCTCTTGAGATTGTCCCTTAGTTCTAAAAGTTTTAGTGGCATAGTGTTTCCGTAGAAAATAATCCAATATATTTATGATGGTTACTATTCAGATCATAGGTCCTTTTGCCTCTAATGCCTTTGTGTTTATCTTCAGGTTGAAGCATACGTGCAGAGAGCTGTAACTCTGGAAATGTAACAAACAAAAACTTTTCTCGTACTTGTAGGAAACCAAGATACTAAGAGAGCACATTTTTTGAGATGCCAAACTCATCGTTACAGATCTCTGGCTCCCCAGGAAATTCACAGATGTAACTTTGCTGTGTGCTACAACCACCCACTATTTTGCAGTGTCAGCTGGGCTGGAGCTCAGATCCACCCACTCCCGCCGCACCAGGCCTATTACACTGGAGCTGAAGGCAAAATGCAAATTGCTGAACACAGTTGCCTTATGGCATGCAGTGGGATGGTAAAAAAAGAACCCATGGTGTCTCACTCCCGGTTCGGCACCTGAACCACAAGATCTTCATTATTTCTTTATCGAAACCTCCTCTTTCCCCTGAATAAGGCACTAAAATGGAACAAAAGTCTGGCTAATTTGCTGCAGGAAACCATTGAGCTTTGGGCAAGGAGACGGAATAAATCATCCAATTAATTATAGCTGCTGGTGTCCCCTGGTCCTGATTTGGTGTGGTTTATCGATGCCGAACAGCGGTAGATAAGCATAGCTCATTTTTAACTTATGTGTGAATACCTGTCCAGCCCGTGTCTCCTACAACTTCAGCCATGGGATAGGCTCTTTGGGCCATGGGAAGGAAGAGTAATTCATTCAGTCTGCTACACTTGTTCGAGGGCAGCATTTAGTTCTCATTTTCCTAGACCATAAACAACATCACTGCCTGCGGAGAGCAAGGGTGGTGTCTTTCTACATCAGCCTGTCTTTAGGTCCTATTTATAAATGAGGAGAGTAAGAAAATACGTTTAAAGACACGCAAGCTTTAAAAATAAAACTGTGACCTAGTCAAAGAGTAAACATTAGGGAAAAATGAAAACCTATTTTAAGAGATGGAAGCAAAGAAGCAACAACAGAAATAATAAAAATAAATCTTATTACCGTAAATAGGAGGGTGTAAATCTGCAGCTCCCATCGCTGACAGTTCAGAGATGCTGAGGACCTGGCTCAGCAGTGAAAAAGGAGGGAAGTAAAAAAAACATTTGAGTGGGAAATAAAGCAAAGATGAGAAATCTACCTATTTGCACATGCGATAGATTATCCATAAACAACAAGATTGTGCTTCTGACCAGATAAGAGGAATCAATGGCATGGTGTTTAAACCAGATTTAAAAATATACTGAGTGTCTGTCATTCTGTGTACCTGAGCAGTAGCATAACCTTTATTTTTTCATGTAGCCTTTTAGTGTGGGGTTGCTCAGGGAGTGTTACAGTCACTGTGTTGAGAATAAAACAGCTTAAAAAGGGATTGGAAGCTTTTACTGTGATGGACCTTTGGAAATTTGTCCCTGTAATGAAGAGATAGGGGCTGCTCATCTGTTTTGTCACTTACGCATTCTTCTTCTTCCCAACTAGGTTGCCCAGTCACTATGAACAATGGCCCAGCTATACTACAAAAAGGTAAACTATTCACCGTACAGAGATCGGATCCCATTACAGATTGTGCGAGCGGAGGCAGAGCTCTCAGCGGAAGAGAAGGCCTACCTCAGCGCTGTGGAGAAGGGGGACTATGCCAGTGTGAAACATGCCTTGCAAGAGGCAGAGATCTATTACAACATCAACATTAACTGTATGGATCCTCTTGGTCGCAGTGCCCTTTTAATAGCCATAGAGAATGAAAATCTGGAGATCATGGAGTTACTTTTGAGCCACAGCGTGTATGTGGGAGATGCTCTGCTGTATGCAATACGGAAAGAGGTGGTGGGAGCTGTGGAGCTGCTGCTGAATTACAGGAAGCCGAGTGGTGAAAAACAGGTTAGTTAAGTGTTCCAGTTCAGTTTTAAGCTATTATCCTGCATTAGGAAAGTGGTACTGCACAGAGAGGTGCTGTGCAGGAGTCATAAAACAAAGTCCTTAATGTCCAAATGTCCATTGCTTTAAATGCCCAGGGTAGATGTAGGCAGTCCTGTTTGGATGATAACTTTCCAGCCTGAGCAAACACGTTCTGCCTGACTTAGATATTCAGTGTTTTCAATTTCACTCAGTGTTCTTTTCAGTCTTACAGCATTTGTGAACGTGCTGATTTATAGGTTGATTTATAGATGCGGACTTTGTAAAGGAATTTGAGGCTGTCTGAAGTTATATTACAATCTATAAATATGAACCATTGCCATGCTGTTGTACTGATATTAAGTAGAATTGCTTTTCATAAGTAAATCCTGAAAACACACAAGCTTATAAATAACTGTAAGCAAGCAAACAGCCTGCTAGGTTTCAGAACTTAGCCACAGTACAGACATATCATCTTGGTCTCCATCTCCAGAGAGCTCTAGTTCAGAAATGCTGAGGCAGTACATAACATTACAGCATGAGCTAAGCTGCTATATATCTGAGCAATGAACAACTATGACTTGTAGGATCTTCAGCTACCAAGACATCAGTAAATTATGTAAGGATCTTTGTGAAAAAACACGAAGTCTGAATCCTGTCACTTATCACATATCACACTGTCCCTAACTTTTTTTTCTTTTTTGCTTCTTTTCATTTGCAAGTGCTACTGCCAATAACAAGAATAGTTTATATACGTTACTGACCATTGACAATTTTTGCATGTTCACTACTTAGAAAGGAACATTCAAAACTTGGATAACCCTTTGAGATCTACTTGAACACATCCCTCTGTGTGTGAAAGAAGAAAATTATTAATACCAGTCAGTCATAGAAGATAATGTTTTCAGTGGATAGGCCCCTTACTACGTAGTTTTTCAACAGTAGTTTTATGTAGTCAAGGCAAACAGTAAGGATCAACCCTGACAACATTCAAGGGTGCTCAGCTTAATACTTAGAAATGGCAGCATTCTGCATGCTGTAGCAATGTGATTCTAATGTGTGGTTTAAGCACTGAAGAGATGAAGAATCTCTTCCATCAGACCTAAAAACTGACATGTTAGTTCTAGGTTTTAGGCTGACAAAATGTAAGTAGCAAAATACGGACCATACATGGAGAATGAGCCATTTTTTTCCTGGTCTTCTAGGAAGTTTGACCATCCTATAGGCCAACAGGACAGAAAGTGGAAGAGAAGAAAAGGGGTTTTTAGTAGCATGAGGAACTGCCAGTAATTATTGCAGGTTAATGACAAGTTTCTCCTGAAATGTCATGGAAAGCAAGTGATGGGATTCATGTGGATTTCTGGAAGATCTCTTGAATACCAAAACTTGTGTCTACTCAAATTCACAGCCTTGCTGGCTTAACTGGACAGAGGCAGAGGTCCATGAAATAAGGTTGATTTATTGCAGCTGAAATTCAGCTCCAACCTCTCTAGTTCAGGGCTACATTTCATAGGAGGTTTGTTTCATTTTTCTCTCTATGCCAGTGTGCAGCTATCGTTCTGTAGCTCAGTTTGTATCTGCTGCAAAGTTTACAACTTGAAGAGGAACATGTGTGTGGGAGAAGAGATGCAGTGCCAGTTTCAGCTTTATTTACAAGGTTTGTTACAAGACCAGATTTCATCAGTACGTTTGAGACTAGTACTGGCTTGATGCAAGATCCTCCATACAAACTAGGATTAACTTCCCTGGCTGTGGTTCAGGCTCTTCTGTAGACTGCAGGAAGTGTTTGCTGCAGGGCTGCAGGACTGGACTTCCATTTCAGCAGTTTCACTGACTGTTTATGCAGTGATGGTAATTAATATTTATTTCATGTAGAATGATATAACATTAAATGGAAAGAAGTGCTTAGTTAATTAAAGTTGGGGCAAAGTTGGTTAGCTTGTCAAATCACGAAGCTAATATAGGAGGGGTTTCTGAACACAAGTTCCTGATGCTCATTCCATGGCAGTATCAATATATGTTCAGTAATTATCTTTGCTGGACCCTTTCTCAGAAAGTCCCTTGGGAATCCCATATCTAATTGCTTTCACAAAAAGTTCCTGATAAATCAGATTAGCACAGCTTTGTCCTAATCAGCTACTTAAATGTTCTAAAACATACAGAAAACCTGCTTTTTTGTTTGAGTAGTAACAAAAATTCACACTTCATGGAGCAGTTTCTGTCTGGCTGAGAAATTTGTAAGATAGTGTCACAGCACTTCCTGTATATGAGGTTTAGTATAATCTATTCATTAAATGTACACAAGGTTCAGTTTGCCTGAAAAAAAACTGTGTGAAGGCAGCTCCTTGACTCACGTGTAGCAGCCTGTTTCCAATTAGGAGCTGTCTGTCTTTGCTGCACTCCGGGCAAAGGTGCAGAAGAAGGATCTTCTGATTGCTCTCTCTTAAATGTTAAATACAACACCTTCATTCATCTGAGCCTGGGGTCTGTGAAAACCTGTTAGTTCCCATTTTCCTGCTGTCTGCCTCTTGAGAGGTTATTATTTGACTCTATACCAAGGTCTTGTTTCTCTAACTGCTGGGCACGAAGAGCTGTTCCTATTTGCGTCTGTTCACGTCAGCTCAGTTAATTGTTGACTTTGCATTTCAACAGCAGCTGAGTAGCGTCATTCAGCATAATCCATTTTATGGGCATGTATCTTCACTCAAACCCACAACCTTATCATCCTACCACAATCCTGACCGAAAATGTTACAGCTTGCATTATGCCAGCCTCTTGTGAGGTTACAGCGACTGTTTCTAGTTAGTAAAAGATATACCCAAAACACAGTAGAAAACCATGGCCCCTTACAGACTTGACCTGCAAAACAGTTTTGCTCACCAGCCACAGAGTGATGTGTCCTGGCTGCTCCATACCTATCTCCTGAGAGCTGCCCAAGGGGAAGAGCTCTGCTTTTCCTGTGTATGATGACCTTTCCAGGGAGCAGAAGTAAAAAAAAAAACAAAAAACCAACCTTCAAATTTAAGAAGTGACCTTTGTTGTGTTCCTTACGTAAGAGAATCAGTGTCTCATTCACGATGGAAGGGACAGTGAGAAATGGATGAAGAGATTGGGCGGCAGAGATGCTTGTGTCCTGTTATTAAGTGATTGCAGGCAGTCATTATTCTGCAAACCTTTGCTAGACTGCTGTTTAAGCGCCATTTACTGAAAATACCATGACAATGGCAAGGGTAAGTCATAGCCAGTAACTATAACAACACAATTCTCCCGCACTGCAACCGTGCATGTAACGGGTGTCTCGGGAGAGGAAGAAATTACTCTGTTTACATGTGGAGCGTATGAGAGCCAAGAGCATGAACCACCTCTCTCTGAAGGCTGCTACAAAGCACGTGATAGATGAGCGTGCTGAATAGTGATATGCTCAAGTAGATGTATTTCCTTTTAGCTTTACCACCAAACAAGGTTCACAGGCTATTTTAAGAATTTAACATTTCTCCTCAAATCTGTTCTGCCCCAGTCCTGACAGCTTACAGCCACGGTTTTGTGTACTGCTCTGTGAGTCTCTTGATAAAGCCGGGGAGAAGACTTTACTGGTTACAGCCAGATGGCGAATAAAAGTTACAGCTATTTTGAAACATACTGTTGCCTATTTTGGGGTTCAGAGATCAAGCATCTTACTTTTGCTACCTTGGGAAGACCACAAAGGTGTGCTTTGCTCTCAGCAAAGAGTGAAGCCCAGGCTTTGAAGGACCCATTCTCTTCAGATCAGAGCAAATCTCTCCTCAAATGTGCCCCACCACACTGAGATGCACTCTTCACTTTTTTTTTTTTACTGTCAGTGTTCAAGTGTGAGCCAGAGTGCGATGGATGATGCCTCTGTGCAGAGCGTGTGGTGCTGCAGGCTGCGACAGCCCTGCCCACCCACCGCAGCGTAGGTGGGAGCTTTGCTGACCTCGGCGGGACATCTGGACCTGGCACAGCACTAAGAGCTGAATTCTCAGGGAAATTAAGGAAAATTCAATTATCAACTCAAAATAGATTAAGTGACAACAGGGCTTTTCTAGTTCTGTGATTTTTACAAGTTCACTTGTTACTTCCAAATGTTACATAATTTACTCTAATTAATCCTTTGGCCTGCCACTTTGTATTGCTGATTGGTCACTTAAATCGTGGGATAGTTTGGTTTTCCCCAAATAGATGACAGACATTTGGAATGAAAGCAGCCTATTCCTGAATATTAAGAGGAACAACAAAACAAACTAATACTCATGGAACCTGGAGGGTATGCAAGTGTTGCTTTTCCTGCAGAGATTTGTAGTCAGTTAGTATGTATTCTCCAGGAAATAAAAGTGAGCTTAATCTGCTACTTTGATAGTTATTGTTTGCTTTTCAAGACAGCGAAGAGGCTGATACTGTACTACGTAGTGGCAGAAGAGTAGTATACATATACTGCAGACTGCTTGGCATGGCAACCCATACTCAGGCCTTCCACACGATGAGAGTCATGCTATTTAAATAAATAAGAGGACAAACCACTGAATAATCATCAGAAAGAGAGGGGCTAGGTTAGAAATAGTAAAAATCAGCACACACAGATGCACACACAATACTGGCCCAGGCTTATTGAATCAGGTAGCTCATCTCTTTTGGGGTAGGAATGTTAAACTGCAAAGTTGTCTGTGCACAGGACGGGTCCAATACATACAATGGCAAAACAAGACTTTTTATACTGTTCTATAAATACACGTCAAAAACAGAGATCTGGCTGGGGTCCTATGGGATTGGAATTAGCAGGGAACATGATATTTCATTTTTTTTGATTCAGCACTACTGTAGGAGCAAGGGAATGTATATATGAAGTCTGTTGAACAAATTATCTTTTCCAGTAATATCTTCTGTTTCCCAACCTATTCGATCTTTGAGTTTTGGTGGTTTTTTTCCTAAAAGTCTTATCAGAAATTTTTTTTACTATACAAACATGAATA